TGTGTGTGTGTGTGTCACAGTTTCTAATTTCCTGTGTGTATGTATCACTCTTTATAGTGAGCTGAAACACAGACAGATAGATGAATGGGATGGAGGCAATGTGAAGGTTGGTTACTGAGCTAATCAATGGATGCGTGAATGCAAGGACAGATGAATAAGCGGACTGATAGGTGGAGGAAAGGTGGCGATGGTCTCATCTGATAATATCTATTCTAGTTAGTGTATCTGTCAATCTTCCACCGGGGATCAAAGGATGGGGGAAAAAAGAGAGAGAGAAAGGGAGCAAAGTGTCACTATAAAAATGACAAACAAATATGTGGCGTAGGTCAGCAGCTCACCTAAATTATGATTAAGTGGTTTGTTTGCTATGTCTGATCAGGAACGACATGCAGCAGATCTTTTGTTATTTCTCACATTTTTTGTTTTCAAAATATGTATGTATATATGTATATATATGTATAAAGTAATATATATATATATATGAGCTCAGAGCAGGTAAAATGTTACGAAATGGGGATGAATGAGAGTACTATGACCAGACATCAACAATAATAACATCAGTGCAGATGTGTTTCATTCCTGTGGACTGTATTCACATTTAGACATTTCACATAACAAGCTATTGTCCCCTTGCTGATTTACTAAAATGAGGAAGAAAAAACAAAAGTACAGACTGTGTGCTACAGTATAGCAGTACCCCCTGCTGGTAGCTATTTGGTAGTGCATCTAAAAAAAAGAAAAAAGAGTCATGTGGCCTTCAGTTGTGAACAGTTCAACCAAGTTTCTCCTTTTCATTTTTATGATTTATGTCTTTAATCATGTGACCTCGCAGATTTAGGAACCACTGCCTAGGATATCAGATGTTTGTGAGTGTGAGTGTGTGAGAGAGAGAGAGAGATCAAGAATGTCAGTCTGGTGAAAGGTGGTGCACATTGTACTTTCAGCCAGTCTGAGAGGAAAACCAGACAAGGTGTTTACAGATTAAGCTACATGCTACTATAACCTTGTAAAAAAAAAGGAAGAAAACATGAAGGGAAACGTATTATCTGTCTCTGAAGTTAAAGCTGACCTTTAACTTAACTGCCAAATGAAAAAGAACATGACAGAGCTCCATTTAACAAGGACAAACCTGACATAGATTGAAAAGAAAAGCAGTTTGCCTTATTACTACATACGAAAAACACATGCAATTGCAAATAGAAACAAAATAGACTAATAAAGTCTGGAGTTATGTTTCTATTAATAATGTTTTTGTTTTTAACAATTTAATTATTTTAAAAATTAATATTCATATTTATAATATTAAAATATATACTATTTTTGTGATTTTTAGACATGTACAAACAGACCTAAAGATGACACCACAAATTCAGATAATAATTGTTTGTTTATTAAACACTTAATGAACTGTTTAATACATCAGAACATCAGAATGAGCTTTAGCTGCTTTGTCAAAAACAGACAGTGGTACTGTGAGCTTATATTGTCGTCAAACCTGACATGTAATCTCTGATAGCGGACAAAAAAAACAACAAAAAAAAACCAACAGCTGTAACCTGCTGAAAATGTTTGAGCCACTCACTCTGGAGATGAACATAAAGCCAAGAATCCCTTTAATTAAACGAGTGAATCAATCATTAAAACTGACTATATCAACAGCACAATGTAGAAGAAGGGGGAGAAATACATTCTGTCACACCATTGCTTTTGAAACCGCTGTTGTGCTATTAATGGTGGTGTCCATAAAACACTGATTGTCAACAGAACTGACACATGGTCACCTGGTACGAGGAGATAACGGAGCTGGGAATATAACAAGAGATTAGATGACCACCAACTGTGATTAGCAGCAAAATAAGGTCTTAAGGCAAAATGCTTTCAGGCTAACAGTCTGAGAACCCATTTCAGCTAGCTGTGACCACAAAGGACTCCTTCAAGACTTGGAATACACGTGAAACACTTCTGCCTCACTTCTGCATATTTCTACTTCCCAAAACTTAACTGTGACCATAATCAACCTTTGTGCTCTTTTCCAAACTGCCTTCAGACAAACAGGAAACATTTTCCATTTTCTTTTAACAGAATCAAAAACCCTCCAGCCAGATCATTTCCACGCACAGTTAAAAGAACAAATACTGGGTTGAAAACTGCTGGTAGGCAAGTTTTTAATTAAAGAACTCGTGCTGAGTGCAGATATCAACTGTGACATACAGTATCCACAGTAGACCTTTGAACACCCTTGATTCACTAATGTCTGCAGTTTGGCATAAGAAGTGACTTATGTCACGTGTCCCGCTGAATGGCTGTGTGAAAAATCCAACTAAAAAAAAAACAACAAAGAAGATTAAAATCTCAGCGTCTACTGACCCTTTTATATCTTCTCCAAACACAGCAAACCCTACCAACAAAATATCCATGAACTTTACATGAATAGTATGAAAACAGTATATTGTATGGCATCATCCCACAATATGAGTGGACACTTGAGATCAGCAACTAAAACAAAATGTCTTGAATGTTTAACAGAGTCACCAGAGAACATCACCAATGTCTGAGAAGCCCTAAAATGTTTTATAACAATTTCACAAGTTTCTTATTAATACACTTGGGGAAGTTTTGTTCTGTTTCTCCTGGAAATGGGAGAGTGGGGCAGAAAGTGGAAACAAAGGCTTTAGGAGGCTCAAATCTGCTTTACTTCGGAAACGATTAGTCAGATAACTCAGTCCAGTCAATAGACTGGAGAGGTGCTTTGGATTAGAGGATAATGCTACATAAGCACAAATACAGGAATCATGCATTTCACTGCTTACAACATCTAAGCACATCTAGAAAAACCAATGAGATGTCCACGGAATAAGTCACTTCAGACACTTGGAGGCAGTTTACTGCGATGTACAACAGTGTGTGTTAATTCTACTGTTTGGCAATAAAGATTTCCTGAATATATGTTCACCTTGAATAGAAAAAGTTCAGTTTACTGCATTTGTATTTAGTTTTTTTAGTAATAATTTCACTTCCGAACAAAACTAAGTACACATCTAATGAACCAGGCAGTGTTACTTTGTCTAAAAACATTACTCATCAGTCAAACATGGATTACAGACACATACTGTATGGGCAATATGAGCATTACTTATCCATGCTTTTCTTTTATAATCATATAGTTTTAAATGTGATCTTGTCATGCTAGTATGTCTAAGCACATGATGGCACAGTCTATAAACATCTATAGTCTAATCTGATGTTATTATTTTGGAGGCTAATGATGTACAAACCCATTTATCTAAACATCAAACCTGCTTTAATGCAGTTACGAGGAGATTTTCTGTTAAGGGTCATTTCAACCAAGAAGAAAAAATAAATAAGTAATTTCTGCAGGTTTTCTGCTGCCACTCCGGTACAGTAGGGGTGAATTCAATTTTGCTTATGGTTTTCACAGCATCGAAAAATTATGTTAAAAAGATTACACAAGATCTTTCTGTAGTCCATGGCCCCATATATGTACAGTATATATATATACTGTATGTGTTAATGTGTGTGTACATTTGAATATTAAAATTTTAAACTTTATGCCAAAAAGAGAAGGCTTTTATCACCTAAGTGCTTTTGTCAATTAAAAGGGTTCTGTTTTAATAGTTTAAGTGCTCGTACAGTCATAGTAGCCTTTAATATTCTTCAAACATAGAAAATATAAATAAACAATTTCTATATTTAAGGTCAATTTAATCTACTGTGTGTGTAAGTTTCCAAATTAAATCTGGTTGGCATAACATGACTCCAATTACAGTTATTTAAGAACTGCCACTGTATGGACACACCAAGTGGTTATATTTTTGTTTTTATGCAATAAATGCAACAAATCTTTGAAATAAATTCTAATTTTAGAGCTGATTTACTCTCTGGGTTCTTATTCATTTAAACAAATAATTACATCTTTTGTCACTGTGGAAGTCTCTGTGTGATACAGTTGAAGGGTAAATAATCCTTTTAAAAACAATTATTTATGTTAAGTCTTCATGATGTTCTCAGTGCTTGTTTTAGTTTGCACAAAAATGAGACTTCCTCCGATAAACTCCATTTTTCTCAAGCAGGACTTCTTCAGTTGGTTTGTGCGTAAAGCTTTTCTATATACATTGTGCCTCTTAATGTCACATACAGTTTATCACTGCATTTTTATTATGTAAACTAACTACTTCCTAGCAGCTACACATAAATCTACCTGGGCATCAATTTAGTTGTAAATTTCTTTCACACGATGAGGCTAGAAATTTAACAAAGTGGCTCCCCAAGCAATTAAAAAAACAATTAAACACCCTGAAAGCAATGACAAGATTTATGCAACTGTAGTATAAATGCTCCCCCGCTGTGTGTCTTCCTGTCTCTCCCAGCAGAGGGCAGTGTTGAGCCATCAGGCGATTCAGCCCATGGTTGGAAACTAAGTGGGGGAGAGGTCACTGAATGTGTCAACATGAAATATTCTTCCGTATTGTTACAGTTTCAGCTTTTACTCATTTGTCTCCCGGTTCTAATGACAAACTGCCATCATGTTCAGCAACAGATTCGTGATACAGGTCTGGTTCGAAACTCAAAAACAAAACAAAAAACAGGGAATACGGGTCTTTCTATTCCACACATAAAGTCTGGGGTCTCTTCATTAAGACTGAGAGTTTTTGTGGGCACAATGAATCACCATCTGTATGTGTGGCAGCTCTTGCACTTATCCCTCTTTTATGAGTGTTTCTAAATTCAAAGATAAAAAATCAAGTGCAACCGGTGTCTGTTTTGTCTACAGGTTGAATCATCTACTAGTCTTGAAAACCCACATTCTTAAAAACACTCTCCGTCATCCACTTTTTCCAAACAACGTTGGAACAGAGAGAGTGTGAGTTGCGTTTCAACTTGTCCACGTTGCCCTGTCGCTGTGGTTTTCAGGTACTAATACTTCTAGTCCCCACGTTATACTGTACTATTCTTCTGCATATGAGGGATTCTGTCAAAGCTCCCCCCAAACTTATACCTCTTCCATCACCTCCATCACGATTGTCCTGGGTCCAGTTAGGATCAGGTTGCTGACGGCCCGGTAGTCCTGAGACAGGACGTTCAGTCCGTTCACCGACACCACAAACTGACACACCTGAAGAAAGACAGACAGAGAGAGGAGAGATGATTGATGCTTTGGCTGTAATGGTCTCAGTGTTCACACCAGTCCAACACGTTCAAATCAAACTCAAACAAGAGAGGGACAATAGTTTATTTTTTGCAATGTTGTGCAGTGTTTGGAAATCACAATTTTGTGTGATTTGAGAGGTTTCTTTGGACATTTTAGTGCTCTACAACTGTCTTCCAATGGTTTTTGCTAATTGAATTGAAAATCTATTTGGAAATATGCTAAACTAAAGCACATAACAACAACAATGAGGGCCTGTAATGGGGGTATAGTTTGTCATTTATATGTAATAGACGTGCTTATTTGGTTTCTTGCTGAGCGTCTCATGTCTGCGTGGTAAATAGACGCAGCAGATGATAATTAGGTGAGAGATAAAATCCACCTATCAGCACCTCTAAAGCTTAATAACAGGGTCGGGAGGGTTACATTGAAAATGTGATCTGATACAATTACTAATTATCTGTTAAAATTGAATCAGTACCCTAATCAAAGTATCACAATATTAAAGTAACATAACCTGATTACTTTCTGTAACCTTTAAACTAACAAAACTTGGAAATAAAGACAAGAAAAATGAAATATTAATAAGATGACTTTGGCATATTTTGTAAGACAGAGAACAATTAGAAAAGAAACATTTGAACCAAAATTGAGTCCTATGCTTTGTGTATTTTTAAAGAAAAACCTTTCATTTAGCAAATTCCGGCAGCAGCCTACAGACCATTTTAAAGACTAGAAGGCAGAACTTGCACTGTGCTGTGATGTTGTTCCCCTTTCTGCTTATAAACAAAATAATGGGGGAAATTCCTATTCACTAGAGGACATGATAATGAATTCGCAACTGTACAATCAGATGGTTTCACTCTAGACTCCTGAAGTGTTGTGATGCACTTGTGCACTGTCTGTACTATCTAACAAATACCAAAGCGTAAAACAACAATTTGCCATTTGACAGTATGTTATCTCCCATGCAGAAACTCCATTTAATTAGGGGCCCAGCAGGTGATCTTTTCCCAGAGGGCCCCGAACAGGTTAATCCAGCCGTGCTGTCATCCGCGTGAAAGGGACGTGCTCCAAAAATTTGACACATTTTAAGTGTAAATCAAACAATGCTTCTGTAAGATAACAAATAAATACAGCACCCTAACCCTCGAAGCTGCAGCAGTGCAGAGAAACAAGTAAACACTGATAGTGTTGCCTGACATAAATTACACTAGTTACAACGTGACAGTCACGCTCAAATCACTCCCCTGTCACGCCTGGACCCCGCCTCCCTTATCGCTATTTAACCACCGCTCCAACTCGGCAGCTCTGACAGAGATAAGAGGTCGTTGTCAGAGTTGCTTTCTGGCTGCTGCTCTTGCAACATGGTGCTGCAGTTTCTGGTGCTGCTGTGGTTTGGTTTCTGCAAGATATTACAGGCGCACACTCACACACGCAAGTACACTCCCTATTTGCTGGATTCCAAAGGTTTTCCAAAAATCCTGCAAAATGCAAAAATAATTGACGTATGTCAGAGAAAACAAAAGCACATAATCATTTGGATATTTATATTGCCTATAAATCAACAAAGTGCAGACGTAGACTGCTGAGTGATGATGGAAGAAAAACTTTTACAGATGTGTTTCATGGGCTTAGGGAACTTTAGGGAAGCTATTTAAACCTGGCCTGTTTTCTTACAACAACTGATGTTACATGTGAAACTGAGAATAGTGAATACATGTAGACAGAGCTACTATTTCTGGTTATTTTCACAGCAATTGCTACTAAATGTTTTTCAGGCATTCCTAAACGTTCCAGGAAAGGAGAGATGAAAATAGGCAGAAGGAATAAAGGCAAAAAGAGATTAAGAGTAGATAGAGGGAAGAAAAAAAGCCTAGCATGTTAATCCTGCGCTGCGGAGGAATTTCAGACTGTAATCACATCTAAACCTCTGCAGCCTATATCCCACTACTTGCAGAGTCAAAGTACTGTCCTTCATGCACTTCTGGACACACTCTCTACGCATTTATCCCTCCAAATTCACCTTTCCTTTTAACCTATTTCACTCTCTTCCAACACCTCCCCCTCTTTTCTCTCCCTCTGATGCTTCTCTCCTTTCAGGCAGTGGAGTTGTTAGTCTTGGCTGGGGCCCAGCTGGACTGAATGGCTCCTTGCACTCACAGGGTTAAAATCACTCTCACACAGAGAAGGGAACGAGACAGAAACAGGCATAAAGAAGAGAAGACATAGAGAGAGAATAAACAAAACATGTTAAGAGGCCATGCTGAGATGTTCAACATGCACACAGTGATAACATCTACAGCTGCATGCATGTAGAGAATACTCTTTACAAAAATACTCAGGTGTTGGATGATCTGATGTGTGCATTTATTTCCCTTGAGGAAACAGAAAGCCAGAGAAACAAAAACTGATTAAACTAAAATTTCACACAAGAGGGGGGATCTTTGGTTAGTTTGGTGTTTTAACATTTGACATTTTGTAAACTATGCTCATTCGTGTTTTTGCAGAGAATTAAATGAAAAAATCAAGACCACTCTGATGTCCATTAAGTATGACATCTGGAAGTCTGGAAGCAGGGGGAAACAGCTAGCCTGTTTCTTGCAAATGTTAAAAAAAAAAGCCAAAGTCATTTCTGGGGAGACTCTGTACAGTCAAAACATCCAACCTCAATGCACACAATGTACGGCTCAATGAACCAATCACAACCTGGCTGCTTCCACTGAATGCAAACACAGAACCCTGATCAATTCTGGCCATTGTCCAATAAAATGTACTGAAACAACATGACTATGCTGACTTGTCTTATTTGGTGCAATACTTATAGTAAAGGGAAGCAAAAAGAAAAGGAAAAATATGGAGCTACAGCTGGCTCGAAAGATACAGACTTTTACACACAGTTTATAGTGGATCTTCTTACAGCAGCAAAAAATCAGACAGAGGAACTGCTCAAACTAAAAGACAGCTGACCAAAATGCCTGAAAGGCAACCAATAATAATTTGGCCAATTAACCAGCTATCAGAAATTTGGCTCGACTAAAACGGCTTTCAGCTCACTAATTCACACTTTATATCTTTTTGTTTAATATGTACAGAAAACAAAATGTAAAAATTACATGTTGTGGTTTTATGGAGACTTATGTGCCAGACTATTTCTTGGCGAGGAGCAGTGGCTTCCTGGAGTCTGCTGGTTGCCTGGCAACCTCACAGTGATGACAAGACTCCAGGCAGTCTAAGCAAGAAAGCGAATAAGAAAATAAGTGTTTCCCAAAATGTCGAACTTTTCCTTTAAAAGAGAGTCAGACTGTTGGAACTTTTAGGCTCATGTCAACTGGTCATAATTGTGTGTCTTCAACAATAATCATAAATTTAAAGATTAAATATCCTGCATATAAATGATCTTACAACAAGGCATGAGAGTGTTTTGAGATTACAGTTTCAGATTCATCTAACCTTCAAACCTTCTAATCTTTAAATGTTCATTTTAGGGGTTCAAACCTTTTTAAAAAGAGGTTCAGAACGATGATATCCATATGGTACAAATCATTTAACAGAACATATTATTCAGTACACACACTTGTGATGGTGTGCAAACATGCAGTACAGGATGCACAAATAGACACAAAGTAAGACAAACACACATCCTGCTCTGCCTGTTGCTGTATAAAAGTGCATTTAAAGTGGCTTTAACAGTAACATAACTGGGGTCCATTATGGTCAGGACAATGCTGATGTGTACATCTGTGTGTGGTGAAAAAAAATATATATAAACAAGCACAGGCACAGTGATTGAAAGCATGTATAAGGTGAAATTAGAAGAGCTTCATAATACTTTTTAGTACCTCCCTCCCAGAGGTCAACAGGTGTAAGTTTTTCTTTTAGGCTTTTGCCTAGGCCGCAGTGCCAACACCTCACAGCACAGCATTCCCTCTCCAGGATTGTGTTACTGCTTAATTACACATCAATAAAACTACTCGGGTGAAATGGAACGGGACTGACCTTCTAGGAACTGCAGGGAGCGCAACAAACTCTCACTAAACTGGTGATTCTGTAGCACACACGCTGCTGCACACAAGGAATTTAATCTAAAATGATGATACGGAGTGAAAATCTCATATTTATAACATTCTGGCGGCTACCAGGAGATAAAAGATGATGCTATCATGTCTTCCATGATATCCTCACAGTACGCATGTAGTCCACACTACAACAGAGCTAATCACACACACAAAGACATAAACACGCACAGTTTATGACTTTATAACCAAGTGTGAACCATGACACGTGTTTCCATGGTGATAAAATATGACCGCTGACAGTAACAAAAGCAGAAGTGATATTATTTCCACTGACTGTTTCCTTTCTCAGTTACCCTCCTCTACCGCTGCCTCCTTCCTTATCCTCCAAACTCTTCAGCTCATGTGTCTTCTCGCCGACATCACTCTGAGTTAACATCCTGTCCTTTACTTAGTTGGCAAAGTTTAATTTCGTCCCAGAATTTCATGTTTTTTTTTTTAAAGGGTTGCCACATTTGGGTTTTCATAACGCCTTAGGAGACATTTTAATGTTCATTTTATAATTCCAAGTCTCCACTGGACATTAGCAAAGGTTCATTAATTATTGAATTTGACTTTCCAAAACACAACCAATAGATTATTATACCCTTTATAACTTTTTTTCTCTGCTCCTCTTTCTGGCTCCTGCTGCTTTTTTCAGTCCTTCCCTCTCCATGTTGTGGTGTAAGTTGCTGTGCTCTGCATTCCCAGGATTCCTTGCTGCCAGTATGCTTACATACCTTCATGCCAGCTGTGGCAGCAAAGCCACCATAACCCTGCTTTCCTTCTTCATGACTATGTTCCTCCCTTAACACTTTTCCTGCTCTTACAGCTACTCTCTGCTCCTGTCCTGACACCTCCTCATCATGCAGGCTGAAGTTACAGGAAGCATCTCGCCTCTCTTTCACAGTTCTCTCGCAGTCCGCACTTAAATATAACAGTATATATTTAAGTGTAGATTTGCATTTCTGTACATGAGTTGCTATCTCAGGTTTTGATTTCAATCTCTCAGAATGAAATAACAACAGCTCCCTTCTCCAATCATCATATTGTGTTGTGGGTCGCAGTCATGAAGAGAGTAAAAAAGTCAGAAAGTAACAGATTACAGTCTTTACACATGAACTGCAATACCTCCTTAGCTCACTTTATCTAACCTTGAATCTACATGGTGACATCTACCCTCCTACTATCCTTCCTCCAAACCCTTTTTACCCCACGGCTGAAGTGATGGAGGAAGCCCTCCATACATCTCTCCTGTCTTTACCTTCATGCCAGCAGCAGCTGCAGGTCCACCAGGGTCCACAGCCTGGATGTGACAGGGTTTGCTGCCTCGCACCACAAAGCCCCAGCCCACAGCATCGCCCACAATCTGAAGAACAACAAGAACACGTGTTGGGTACGATATTATATTTCACATGTCTTTAATGCACATGGTTAATATTTAACCTGAGGCAAAATGTGCTTTTGTTATGGGTTTGTGGTTGCAGCTAGTAATTGGACCTTTCAAAAGGAAAGGACAGACATCCACCAACCATAGCAACCATGTCTATAAATTACTGAATACACATAATATGTATGTCCTTGTCTTAAGTGTGATACTCATTTGGCACCTTATGGCAATCACACTCTGAGACAAAGTGCAGTGTGAAATTGGTGTGTTTGTGTGTAGGCATGTGTCTGCTTCCTGCACGGGTGTGTGTGAGGGAACTGTGAGAATGAATGCCAACATCCATGCTAAAGCAGCCTTTGTTAGAGCTCAATTCTGTGTGTTTGTGTGTGTGTGTGTGTGTGTGTGTGTGTGTGTGTGTGTGTGTGTTTTTGTGTGTGTGTGTGTGTGTGTGGCGGTGTCTGTCTCTGTGTGTGTGCGTGCGTGTCCTACAGTGAATGTCTTCTTTAGAAAGGGTCCTCCTGGTGTCTGTAGCTCTTCTGGACTCACTTGTCTTTTCAGAACTATTGAGAAAAACACACACCCAAACACCCACACACAAAATGTTATTTGCTACCATGATAATTAGGAATGACCACAAACACACAAATACTGAAATACACAGACATAATACTGTTAAACGTGTGTGAGTGTGTTGAAAGTGCTAATGTCAGTCACATGCTAACAGGGCCTGGAGGCACGCTACTTCCTGAAACAGTATAGCCCCCCTTCCCCTCCTCCAACTTCCCCTAACCATTACTCACTTCAACATGACTCTACACAGGATTTAAATGGACTTTAACCCTTCATTTCAAATTCACTCCATTAGTAAAAATGATGAAACATTTGACAAAACAGAGAAGACGCAGCTAACTGTTCGGCAACCAGGAAGCAGACGCTTAAAGAATCCATGCACACACACACACACACATACACACACACCATGCATACAACAATTCCCACACATAAACTGGTCATATTGAAAGAAAAATGTGGACTGAGAATGTACACACATTTGATATGCGTCAGATCAAAGCGGTTGTAATCATATGAAATGGAAATGAAAAATGAGGGAAGAAACTGAATTTTAATTTGATCTTTTAATGTTTTTTTTAGGCTTTTAACCAATTTCTGTGTGCATGCATTTCTACACGCCTACACACCATAATATGCCACAAACCTCTAATTAACTGCTCTTTATTCTTGTTATTCAGTCTGCTTTTGTTTTTCTTTGTTTTTCATTCATTTACTGCTCTTTGTTTATTTTATGCTCATAATTAATCCTTTAAAGAGAGGCACTTTGTTCACTGAATCATTACTGATTACCTTTCTGAGGTTTAATGATTGAGATAACACTCATGCTTATGGTTTACAGAACTGAAACTGAATCGGCTGATTAAGGTCTGTATGTCCAATGATTGAGATTTATAAACCAGAAGCAATCTCATGCACTGCTTTAGATATCTGAAACAAAAGAGTATGCAGCTGATTTGTACGTGTTTTTTTATAGTGCAAAAGTAAGTTGAATAAACAACAAGTACTAAAAAGGACTTCCTCCTTTTCGATTGACAAATCACTTTCTGTGTAGTCTGTGTAGTACTTCATTTTAATCTGATAAAACAGAGGAAGTCAAGTGAGAGAGACCTTTTATCCTCTTGATCTGGACATTTCCATAATCCCTCTGTGGAAATCCTGATCTGATCTTCAGGACAACTTCTCTTTTTAATACCTCATCATCTGCCTTGTCTACTTCATATCAGGGGACGGCATCTTTTAACTGCCTGGCTTTATAAATGCAACCCAGAACGTATTACACAAGACACAGGGCTCCTTTTCTTCCCGCACAATTACTAAGGTTAATGTGAGGCAGAGGGGAATTTTGTGTGTGCATGTATGTGTGCCTTCCTTTTCCTGTTCATTGTGTATCGTGCGTGTGAGTGCTGATGTTGAGGGGGCTCTGGAGCTACAAAGAGACTCTGTCAAGTACACTGCTTGGATTAGACACATCAAAGGAAACCTCACAGTAGTAAAGACACACAAAGCAGAAAACACACAAACACACAGACACAC